GTGGGTTACCTGTGAAAGGAAAAGGCGGCTATCTTGACTAAATGAAACTTTATATTGTTCCGCCATTTGCCCACTGAACTGCGTTGTACAGCCATGTGGCTTCACATACAAACTCTCAGTGTTATAAATGTGATTTTACATTATTAGCCTGGACTACTTATTTACTAGTTAGTTAGTTTAGATTGTTTAATCGATGCCAGCGCACCTTCAGTATGTATAGTTACGAGCAATAATGACTTTCTAAGAGACCTCCACCTGTCCACTGGCCACGTTTTGCGTTTTTTAAAACGGGAGATGTCACCCGATCTAAGTGGACTTTGAACATTGCTGGTGGATGCTCAGCTAACATTTAACTGAATCAAGCTGTTGAGTACCTATTTTTATTTTCTCCATCATTTTCCATCAGCAATTTTAGCCTGAAAATTTGGAGTTAAAACGAACCTGGAGTAGTTACCCTGCATGTGTCTGTTTTGAAAGGAAGTACGGTTTACTTTTCATTAGTATTTCTGTCCACTCTGTACAAACGACATACTGCATTTCTGTCTGCTCTGGCAGAGTTTTGGGGAGTTTTTCCTTAAAGTTGCTGTACAGTAGTGTAAGTTTGTAATTTGGGGTAAATAAGATAAAACTGACTTGATTTCAGTTCTGTGCAAAATTGCTCACTTTTAATCCAGATTACATTCATCATTCATATAAAAGTAACTTCATTACCTTGATTGATTCCTGTGATCTCTCTCAGTAGTATAGCTGAATGACCTGGAAGTTTCCTTCTGGGAGAGAGATGGAGAATAGCTCTCACACACTGCCACCATGTCCTACCACTTTTGGAGGGTCCTTGCCTTTTTCTTCCTCGCTGCAGGAGACCTGCTCAAATGGCTGTCTTTCACTCCCACTTTCGCCTATTTCATTCCCCTCGTCCCCTACCTCACTTTCTCCAGCAACAGCAGAGTCTACGCACTCTTCCTCCGCCCTTTCACACTGCACTGAGTCTCAGTGCCTAGAAGAAGAAAACATACAATGCCTCAGCCCCGCAAACATATCTGACCAAGATGACCTAACCTGCCTCAGCTGGCTGCATCAGAGGGGCAACCTACTCCCACTGCAGCCCCTTCATAAAATGACACCACTGCCCCAGCTAGAGTCCTCCGCACCTGCACGACCTCCTCCTCCTTCCTCGTCCAAGCCGCCGTACTCCTTCAGTAGTCTGATTTTCATGGCATTAGAAGACTCACCTGAGAAGAGGCTTCCAGTGAAGGACATCTACGAATGGATTGTGAAAAATTTCCCATACTACAGGACAGCATCTGGAGGATGGAGGAATTCCGTCAGACACAACCTGTCCCTGAGCAAGAGTTTCCGTCGCATTCAGAGGGACAAGAGCCAGGTTAGACTCATGTTTACCACATTGAGAGTCCTTTGTTGAGGGTCATGTAGCAAGTAAAGTTACTGTGCTTAAATTATAGGAAAGCATCCACATCTGAAAGCATCCATCCCACTGAAATGTCCTTTAGCAACACACTGAATACAGATGTGCTGCTCTGTAGTCAAGGTAGCATTAAACTGCCTTACAGGGAAAATATTATAATTATTTCAGTTTTGCTTAAGATTAAGATATTTGCATTTGCCGTGGCAGTTTGAATGTTACGGTAGGTTTTGTATATTTGTTTCAGTCAGTGGGGAAAGGATCGCTGTGGTGTGTGTGTCCAGAGTATCGGTCGGTGCTCCTCGAGGTGCTAAAGAAGACCCACAGTTATCACAGCACCAACAGCAATTTGTTAAACAAGCCTGCACTGTGAGTATAATCACACCTTACGTCTGCAACTAACAACAGTTTTCATTAACTAATCTTTAACTCTGTAAATTAAAAGTTACAGACAGCTTATTTAGTCTGAGCAGCTGTCAGAAATTCGAAATTGTTCAAATGATCCAGATACAGTATAAAATCAAAGCTCCTTACATTTGTGAAGCTGGAAGTTGGAACAAGCGATTGTTTGGTTTACTATATTTACTTTATGATTAAAACAATTGATTACCAAAAGTGGAGCAGTTAAATTTTATGTTCACTAACTCTTAGATAATAGACAAAAAGCCAATACTAAGTATTAGTGGTGATGTGATTACTCGATTAATCAATTAGTTGACTTTGATAATCGTTTACGTAACTTATCTGAGGGAGGAAAATGCCAAATATTTACTTGCATATTTACTCCACCCTATATTTATGTCGCTGTCTAACTATCTTGCCGTGTTGTGTGCAGGTTGGAAGGAGCTGAATTTGGGGTGCCTGCAGTGTGCGACTCTTTGGAAATCTCAGGTCAGTGATGATGAGGCGTCTCACAGCAGGCGCATGTCACTTAATTAGCACAAGAACTTACATATTTGACCCTTTATGAATTTCTTTCAGTTTACAATGTTTTATCAATGGTGTAACAGCTCTCTGTGACACTTTTATTACCTGTAGCTTTTTGCCCTCCATGCAGCTTTTCTCACCATGCAGCATTGTTCCTGTGTTTGTGTTGTGTTGTCACAGCAACAACCTTCCATTAAATGGCAAACCAGCAGAAGCCTAGCGTAGTCCCCTTTATGTCCCCTCGTTTTATATCCGAGCATATGCGCTATTTGGTCACATGCTCACTGAAGAATCTGACAAGTGCATGTGCCTGTATGAAAACAAGTTATTAATATTAACGTCTTATTTTCTGCTTATAATAATTACTCATTTAGCTGACACTTTTTATCCAGAGTGACTTACAATTGCTATACATGTCAGAGGTCCCTCGCCCCTGGAGCAACTAAGGGTTAAGTGTCTTGCTTAGGGACACATTGGTGGATGTGTCACAGTGGGAATCGAACCGGGGCTCTTATAAGAAAGGCATGTGTCTTATCCACTCCACCATTGCAACCCCAACAAATGAACACTGTGATGTAATTTCCTACTTTTATGTTTTTTTCCCCCACACAGATCCTCTTTCTCACAACCTCCTCCTCTCCACGCCCTCACCTCAAACCTTCACCAATGATAACCCAAGTTTCTCTGACAACCCACCATGCCCTTTGACCCCAGATCACGAGGAGCTTGTCACCATGGAGTCGGTTGAATACCAGCAGGACGAGGTCAGCGGGGAGATGGAGAAGGACCCACTGTCAGACAGTGGGTACATCGAGTTACACTATTACCAGTCTCAACAGTACCAGTATCTGGTGCTGCCAGGTGACACAGAATTGGACCTGGAGACTGTGGAGATCCTTCAGCTCGATGCCGAGGCCCAGGAGGCTGCTGGGTCACTGCTGGACTTAGCAGGTGGCGGATATTAATGTTATTTAGCCATTTAACAATCACAACTGATGCAAGGTTTCAATCTATTGTAAACAAATACTCCAACGAACCAACATAAATGGGGATTTATGTTTTGAAGTCTTAAGTGATAATGGATGGAGTGATGATGTTTAGAGATTCGGCTACTTCTTCCTGAAACGATGACACTGCCCCTAAGGCTTACATATTGTTTTGTAGTTGTAGGTGAAAATATACAGTAGATCAACTTTTTGATGGACTAACAAAACTATGGATCACATTACTTCCCATGTATTCAGGCACTTTCAATGCAGAAGTTGAATTTACCACCAGACCACACCATACAACCACAACCTGGACACAGACTTGAGAGTGTAATGTTACACTGAACAAAACTGACAGGATTATTCTCTGAGATTTTTAAACCGAGGAAAAAGTATTAATAGAGTATGGTCTTCAGTACAATACGGACAGACTTTTTTGACACATTAAGTTCATTCTCAGGGGTGAAAGGAGTACTTCCAACTCTAGTTAAAGTATTGTTTCTTGATGTTTCCCAAGTTAAAGTAAAATTTAAATAGCGTTGAAATCTAAAGTACAAAAATAGCTCTTTTGAGGACTACACTAAGCAGTGCACTCTATTACTATTTAATATGAATATGTCTTTTCTTTATAAGAAGATTTTCATGAGTAAAAAACTTTTCAAAACAAACAAACTTATGTCGAATATCCTGCCCACTTAACACTGTTACTGTAGTTTTTTCTGAAAACGCTGTCTTTCTAAAAGTAGTTGAGTATAATACTTCATTAAACTATATTTAATTTATAATGTAGTTATAATTGTAGATTGCACTCAAAAAGTAGGAAAGCTCTACTTAATTACAATAATATAAGTACTTCCAATTTTATTTCTAGTTAATTTCTTTACACCCATCGTCATTCTTCAGATCATGTTTGCTGGAGTTGATTTTATGTACATGATATGTTACTGAATGGCTTTTAGTTTTCTGTGAATTTAAACAGCTAGAAATGAGCTTCTACGCTAAGTTAAGTTGCCTTCTATCAGGAATGAATAATAAAATTTAAGATGAACTCACTGCCATTTGAACCACTTTACATTTCTGGACACACTGAATATCTGTTTGTAAATTGTATGTATTGTTATGTATTTTCAAAAGCTTTAGATTTTGTAATCTAACAAATAAATCATGCTGTTCTTGTGAATTAAAACAGCCCGTTTTTATGTTAAGACAACATAGAAGCTTTGGTTGCATTACAGTTTGTTACCGTATAAATTGTTATAGGATACGTTTGGCTATATTCACCATCTATGGATGTTGTAAATTAAACCAGTAGGGGGCGTAACGACCGCATCTCACTGGACTACACTCTGTTAGATAGATACACGGTTTGTCCTCAATCAAAAACCTGTTCTTAAGCCACAGTGTATTTTTCAAAAGCATAACTCTTTCGGAAAAATATTTGTGTATACGCAAAGCAACCTTATCTGTTTTACATTAATTATCTGATACTTCCGTATTCGATATGTTTACGTTATAAACTACATTTCCCGTAGCAATGAGGCAGATTTGGCACCTCGGGTAACGTAGTTCATTGACAGACTGAAGTACAAGCACGAGGCCACACCAAAACTACATTTCCCATAGGACTTTGCGCGAGCTGAAAGCGGACGTTTGAGTTTCGTGGTGCGGGGAAAAAAGTTATCGCTCCTCTGAAGACCATAGAAGAAGAAGAAAAAGTTACTGTGTTTTGTTTTCATGCCAGGGTAAAAAAAAGTCACCTTTCAGTGGTGTCTTGACTCTTTTGTGATTGTGTTGAAGCCGTTTGAAGACACCAAAGGTAACATTGCATTGCAAATCGGGAGCTAACGCAATGAGATAAGTTATGTTTAAGCTAGTCCGGACTAACGTTATACTTATTGAAGATTTTTCTTAACACTTGTTTGCTTTGACAACTAACAGACACGCGTTAGCTAACGTTTTTGTTAGAGTACATGCAGACAGACCGTTGAGTTAGCTACCGCCGCTAACTGGTACGATAACACATCAGTAGTTAAGGTTTTTTGTTTCTATTGAGCTTGTTGAATTTATCTGTAACTGTTAGTTATGTTAACGTTAGAGATCTCTTTAGCTTAGCCATAGCCTTACTGGTCCGGGGAACTTTACTGCCCACGTAGCTGTTAGCTAACGTCGCGGGCGGCGTTAATTGGCAGTTGCAATCTTAATTATAAAGAAGGTACTGCACACTTTAGTTTATCTCATGCTTTACTTGCTTACAACAAAATGCAGACAGATAACAAAACACGATGTGGTGTCAAAGCTATTTTTTTTCCACTGCTCAGAAATGCCTGGCAGGCTGCTGCTGCTGCTGCTGAATGCCACACCCTTAAGGTGTTTAGCGTATGTGTGAAGGGAGAGAGCTTTTGGTTATTTATAACCTTTTATGAAAGCTCCTCCCCGTCTCATCATGGGAGAGGACGTCCTCCTCAGAAAGCAACAACAATGAAGGCCTTTGAAGCAGCTAAAATGGACAGTGTTCTGCAGACAATGCTGGATCCACTGTAGCTGGAGGCAAAGCAGCATGACACCCATACGATTATCCCACAGCTTTACACAGAGATAAATATTATGTCTGATGGAAGGATCAGTGCTAGTCTGGTTTTTCTTTTAGCACAAACGAAATGCAACTTAGTAAGTAAACAGCTTTGACTGTCCAAATGTCATATCTTAGTGAAGATGGAAAGAAAATCAGTTGTAATTTTTAGTAGTTATCTACTCCAGGAATTTGTCCTTTAGGCCTACAACTAATGGCTACTGACATTATTGATTATTTTCCGTTAGTTTCTTGTGACCAATTTATTTTGAATAGTTTCTGTTCTGGTGATGTTCACTTCAGATTTGGAAAACCATCATGTGCCATGGTTGCTCAGAATAATATTTTACCATTAGTTCATAAATTTTAGGCATAACATAATCTAAGGGTGCTAACAACTTTTTTTGTTTGTTTTTTCGGATTTGGTTTTGAAACGAAGAATGAACCATACATGGATTAAAAGTAAAAGATATACTATTCCCAGTTTCTGAAATGTGATGATTTGCTGCTTTTCTGTGCTTCTTGTCATTGTACATTAATATTTGTTTGGTGGTGTGGACTGTTAGTTTGACATTTTTCACTTTTTGTGACAAGTTAAAGACAAAATATGGACAGATAAATCCATAATTAAAAATACTCACAAGTTGCAGCCCTAAAATTGTGCTTTCCCTGCTAATATCAACCTGATCTTTTTGTCTGTGATATTCACAGTGACCAGTACCTCTTAAGGATGCGGAGTGAACCAGGCCCAGTTCAGATCGTCACAGTGTGTAAGGAGAATCACTCTTTTGCTTTGGACACAAAGGCTTTAGCTCAGGTTCTGTTGGCTCCCAAGGTCCGAGACAAACATGTGGTGGTCCTGTCAGTGGCTGGAGCCTTCAGAAAGGGAAAGAGCTTCCTGCTTGATTTCATGCTTCGTTACTTATACAGACAGGTGAGTCACATTGCAACATGATCTTTCAATGCTGGGCCTTATATCTCACTCCCATATCTGTTTACAGGACTCAGAGGCCAACATTACTTACCTAGGGAGGACTTTTTTGAATCTGGAATATTTTCATGTTGACTAATACATGCTTTATAGCAAGGAGGTAACAGCAGGTGATGCTGACTAATGTTGTGTTGGAGGTGTGATAATCTGGAAAATCACTAAGTGGTTGGAATGAAAACCTTTATGCAGCTGTGCCACATCCCTCCTCTAACATGTGATCTAACTAGTTTGATGATAACTGAGAATTTAGTCACTAAAGTTGATGATACACGGGGCACCTTTTTGAGCAGTGCTGCTGGGCAATGTTCCTGGCGCCAAGTCCAACTATGTTTTGAACGGATAGCGGCAGATCGGGGTGGCGGGTCAACGGGTGGGGGTATTACAGTAGTAATCTTTACTCATTACCATTGACGACAACATTGCCCAACAACATTCCTCTAAATGTTGCTCCGTGTATCATCAGCTTAAGGAGTGGAGTCTAAGTGAATACCATGAGTTTGTTTTTTCTTTACATATCTTGTAAGATAGCATAATGCTTGGCATTGCATTTGATATGTTTATTAATTAATTTCATCAATAGCAATAGCTCCCGTTACCTTTGCTGTAGTACCGCCATAAGGCCGCACGTTGGCAACCATTTCATCATTTTGTCGTCTACCAAGTGCATCCAAAAGAACTGAAGGGACAGAAGCTGAGGAGATAATTATGACCTGACTGGGGTCTACAGTCCACTTAGTACTTTTTATGTTGTAAATTATGTATAACAACTGGTGTTTCATTTAACACTTAAGGGTAGGGATGCACCAGATGTTCGGCCACCGAAATTAATCGGCCAAAAATAGCACTTAAGACAAAGCAGTGTGGAAGCATTTTCAAGTCTCTGAGAAAGACACTGTTCTGCTGAATTGTCTCCTAGCACATCGACTCCATCTGTGGCTGACCTTTTAGAAAAGGCAACAAACAGTCTGACCTGTTTTAAGTGTTTCTGTCATTCCTTTCTGAGAAGGCCATTAAGCTAGCCGCACCTACATTTGGAGTGCACACGTATTTGAGCCTTTATGTTAACTGGAACGGCCCAGTGCGAGCTGACAGGCAGGTTGGTGACTTTATTTGTCAGTTTCTCTCTTTACAAAGACAAGTGTTGCAGTATGAGAGTCCTACCTGAAGAGAGGCTATGAAGTCTTCATGTTACGTGATACGAGAGCCATATACAACATTATTTAACAAATTGGTTCGGACTTGATGAATTTAGCGTGAGGACACACATGTGACTGTCTGGTTTTCAAAATAAAGTGTCTATACAGAATGGAAATAAGATTAATTGGATTATATTTACAAAGTAAGTATCAAACAACCAGTAAGTATAAAAGATATTACATGTGTCCATTAAAAGTAAATGGACACATGTAATTTACTTTACCAGACCCTCTTGGGCCTCGGACCCACCCACCTTAGTCTCTCCAAATCCTGTGGGAAACACTGAGTAAAAAGCACATTCTGACTATTTAATTTATGCTATAGTAAAATAAATATGGCAAAAATGTGAATGTACTTGTACGGTATTCGGCAAATTTGTTTCATTATTTTCGGCATCGGCCAAGAATTTTCATTTCAGTGCGTTCCTACTTAAGGGTAAAATTTCTGCTTCATTCTTCAGTTTAATTGGAAGTACCTGCCAAGGCATGTTTCAATTTTTGAATTAGTCAGAAGGTTTGGATACACAGAGTTTCACAAAAAAGCCCCAGCTTGCCCCTGACTGATCTTAAAAGTCATTTTTTTATTTCTGCAGAGTGATGAAAACTGGCTGGGTCAAAATGATGAGCCCCTGACAGGATTTTCTTGGAGAGGGGGTTCAGAACCAGAGACAACAGGCATCCAGCTGTGGAGTGAAGTTTTCCCTGTAAAAAAGAGCGATGGGACAGAGGTAGATGCGCTATTTATGTTTCTTCATTGACCTTTTGTAGGTCTGTGTGTTGTGGGAGGTTTGCTGAAAAACTACAGTAAAGTGTTTAGTATTTAGAACTTAGTTTATAATTATACTAAAATATTTATTTTACTTGGGTCACAATTTTCTTTTACTGATTTTTATTTCCTCAAAATTCATCCCATTCTCTCCTCTTTTTGACCTTTTCACTCTTCATCTATGAAACTAAACTCTCATTAGTTAGTCTGACTTACTAATGAGAGATTAATTGGATAGTCGATCTATAGAAAATTTATCAACAACAATAGTAGTAGATAGTTGATTCATAATTTAAGACGTTAATCAAGCAACATTTTACGGTTTCAGGTTCTTGAATGTGATTATTTGCTCTCTTTTTTTCTTCTCTGTTTAATATAATTGTAAAATGTATTTTTGGGGGACACTAGCCATAAGCTGTAATGTAATTTACCTTTTGTTTTTATTTGTTTGTAATCTGAAGGATGTTTTCAATATAAATAAAATCAAACATCTTTTCAACATTTCTAATTCAAATCGGAGTGTTCTTTCTTATCCCAACTCTGGTCATGCCAAGCGTTCATGTCACGTATAATACTCGTCTTTGTGCTCCTGTAGGTGGCAGTAGTGTTGATGGACACTCAGGGAGCCTTTGATAACCAGTCCACCGTGAAGGATTGTGCCACCATCTTTGCCCTCAGCACCATGACAAGTTCCATACAGGTGACTGATCTCCTCTGATTATCACTGATTTAATCATGTAATGTTTGCTTACATAGTTTCTCTTTTGTAGATCTACAATCTGTCACAGAACATACAAGAGGACGATCTGCAGCAGCTACAGGTCTGTTTACATTAGTATAGACAATGATGTCAGTTTGATGTGGTCAATTAAGCATGTTAGAAACTTTCCCCCTAAGAGAACTAACTGATTAAGACTATATGTTCTTAAGACATAGACTATGAAATACAAAGGTCTTGGAATAAGATTTTTTGCGTGTGACAGAAAAGTGTTTCAGTTATGTCACTTAGAGTTTTGCGTCAGTATTCATTTTGCATAATATCTGCCTCCTCCTCACAGCTGTTCACGGAGTATGGTCGTCTTGCTATGGATGAGATCTTTCTGAAACCCTTTCAGGTAAGAAAAACGACAGGAATTGATCAATTGTTGCTGATGTTGGATGTTTATCTGATTGCTTTTGTTTCTCTGTTTGATTAAAAAATGTTTTGAACACCTTTCTTTTGCCTCCTACAGTCTTTGATGTTCCTAATCAGGGACTGGAGCTTTCCCTATGAATATGCCTACGGGTTTAAAGGAGGCAGTGATTTCCTGGATAAAAGATTACAGGTACCTATTCTGTCTTGTTAATTTGGCCGAATATAATAAATACACTTGGCTGATTACTTTTCCGTTACGTTTTTGAAAGGTTAAGGTGACCCAACATGAGGAGCTGCAAACAGTGAGGCAGCACATCCATTCATGCTTCACCAGCATTTCTTGCTTCCTGTTACCTCACCCTGGATTGAATGTTGCCACCAGCCCTGCTTTTCGGGGACAGCTTAAGGGTAAGATCTGTTTTCCCTACTTTTTTCGTTTAAGGTTGGTATTTAGCAGAATGTCTAATAGACTTGAGTGCTGTCCTGAGTTTTGATCTATTTATTTTGTCAGACGTGGCCTCGGAGTTCAGAGAGCAGCTGAAGAGCCTCATTCCCAAACTGCTGCACCCGGATCGTCTGGCTGTGAAAGAAATACATGGAAACAAAGTCACCTGCCGGGGCTTGCTGGAGTACTTCAAGGTAACATCTTCTCTGTCTGAGATTCCCTGCTAAACCCAAACCAGTTTTTCAGATCTAATATTGTAATTATTGCCTTACCAGGCTTACATCAAGATTTACCAGGGAGAAGACTTGCCGCAGCCAAAGACGATGCTTATGGTATGTGCAGGATCAACATAAGTAAACTGGGGGCATGGGTAATTATGACTTGCTCTTGTTTGTGTTTTAAGATTCCTGTTTGTCTCACCAGGCTACAGCAGAGGCAAACAACCTGGCAGCCGTGGCAGCAGCCAAAGATCAGTATTACAAGAATATGGAGAAGGTGGGTTCACTTAAATGTAAAAGACGGTGCATTAATACACCTTTTCACTCTGTTTTGTGGTCATCATTGGCATTGTGGGACATGGAAACCTCTGTATCAGTAGAGTGTTTGTTTCCTTTTTTATCAGCAGAGGAAGGACTGATTATCCTGTTATGTTTTAACAAAAAAATGACTCCTAGTGTTCAAATAATTCCGACTACAAACATTCTTTTCTTAAGTCTCTTTTTGTCTTTGTTTTTTTTGCCAAGGTGTGTGGGGGAGACTTGCCCTATGTGTCTCCTGACTCTCTGGAGGAAAAGCATCGCTTTTTTTTCCGAGAGGCTCTTCATAACTTCTCCTCAACCAAGAAGATGGGCGGACAAGATTTTTGTAAGCGTTACCAAGCACAGCTGGAACAGGAGCTGGAGGACATGTGGCAGTCATACAGCAAGCACAATGAGGCAAGAAACTATTCCATACACACAATATATACAATAAACTATTTATTTATTATTATTTTAGTTTTTGACGTTAAAATACAGAGCTTAGCATTCTTAAATGTTGTAGACTTTGTAAGTAGTTGATGTCCATTTATTATACAAACCAAAACTTGAATGATTTTTATTGAAGTATATTATTATTGCATGCATTGCTGTTTTTGGCAATCATATGATTTGAAAAATGTTCTTAACCATCTGTTTTTCTCTTTGCTGTAAAAGTCAAAAAATCTCTTCAGCGCCTTCCGGACACCTGCAGTTCTGTTTGTCTTGGTGTGCCTCCTCTATGTGCTGTCAGGCGTGTTGCTCTTCATTGGCCTGTCTACCTTCGCCTTGGTGTGTGACTGTACTCTGGGTGTGGTCATGATGTCAATGCTGACGTGGGCCTTCATCCGCTTCTCTGGTCGATACCGGACTGTCGGAGGAGCCATCGACCAGGCTGCAGGTGTCGTCCTGGAGCAGGTGAGAATAATGGGGCTGGTGGCAGAGGTCAATTCATTGTTAACTGATGTCTGTCTATATGGCTTTTACAGCTTTTAGTTGCATCATTATGGTATTTTTTCCCCAAAGCATTTACCTATTAAGCTCACTAGAGGGAGCAATTGATGTTGGAAAAACAAAATTGGCATCCAGCAATCCTAGGGTAATCTAGCTTTTGACTCACCTGTGAAAAACTGGTAACAAAAATAATATTAGGAAGTTCATTTTAGTTTATAGAGTCATACTATGTGACAAAAACTGGATATGAACAAAATAATAGTTTCAATTTGGATATGCTGCTAGTGCAGCATGAGAAACACAAAGGAACACTGCAAAGTTTACAGGCAAGCTAAGCATTTCTCAGATTTTTCTTGACTTATAGGTCCGGTCATTTCAGACCTTGTGAGTGTAGCTAACAAAGACAGTGGCCATGTGGCTACCTGAAATAATGTGTGACTTGCTAGCCAACTGCGGTGTCTATAATCTTTTAGTGTCTTTTTAGTGGCTCATTTGGCCTCGAACAACCTGTTTTAAAGCCTCTTTTATACTAAAATTGCCTTTTGAAAGTACTTTAAAGCTTAAGTAGTCGATTTTCAGCTCAGTTGGGCAAGAAGGATGCAGAAAAATGCTGACAGACACTGAGCTACACTGACACTGATATTTGAATGCCCTGTAGAGTTATAAAAGGTGAACTGATAGCAAACATTTGTTTACTTAAAGGGGGAGGTCCAACAGTTTTACATCTCAAACTCTGTTTACAAGTCTTGGGGAATACCACTGTATATGTGGAAAAATGTTGTGCAAGTCTTTTGTTGCGCCAAAGGGAGCTGCACAAAATCTGACATATTGCCTCAAGTGATGTCATCTTGACTCCGACAATGGTATAGGAGAGTAATGCTAAATTGTTGGAGTTTTCTTTTAAGGCAGGCGTGTGCTGGGTAAAAAAAACAGTTTGTACTGGCCAAGCAAAAAGAAAGCAGATGTCTGTAGCCACGCTCAAAGGCTGCCATCATGGAGAGGGGTGAGATGAGATGATAGTTTAAATATGGGAATAATGCCACACCCTTTCAGGCAGTCACTCCTGGAAGACATTGAAGTGTTGTACTCAGTTGTTGACACAAAGTGACAGAAGTTGTTGTATGGAAAGAAACAGAGCTAGAGAGAGAAGTTGAAAACCTGCTATAAAACCTGCTATATATATATATATGTTTTTTTCCCCCCTCTTCTTCTAAAAGATAAAAATATTTTGATTGACTCATCTTGAACTCCAAGGTCATTACATAAATGTATCCAATCAAATGTGATTTGGGACGACTAACTAATCCCACTTATCATATTAAATCGCAATTGTATGGTTAGCTAGCAGAGCAATATAGTTGGAGGTTTGTGTTTTGAAACCAGAAGTGGTTTGAAGTGAGTGAACCCACTTTGTGTTTAAAAATATTACAAGTGCGGCTGAGAGGTTTCAGTGAATTAACCACAACATAGAAAACGGAAGTCAACAAATGTGGTGAGAAACTTGACGCAGTCAAATTAATTGTCTTTCCCTTTTCTCTGTTTTCAGGCCACCGTGGTGTTGAACAAGTCAAGAAGTACAAGCATTGGTGACCAGAAGAAATCTCGTTAGAGGACCTCTGAACCTTCATAATCTCGATGCAATGCAACCAGAGCACAACACAAGCACACATTCAGCACTAAAGCCTTATCATGCCACCCATTGGAACAAACATGCAGCTGAACTACATTGGCACATGGTATAAAACATGATGCCAATTCACCAGCATCTTTATTATGCAGGTTCCTCTGCCTGTTAAACTCCAGGCTCATATAAAGGTGACTGGAGCAGGGAGTTAAACCAACCCAATCCCTCTTATTGATACTTCTTGTCTTTAATTGACACTCATTTTACAAGTTTACAATCGGTCTTAAGAGACAAGTTGATGTTTACCTTTAAACTTACAAAACACTTACATATTTTCTATTTCAGCTGAATGGATCTTTCTTGGCTGTAATTTTGTTCAGAGAGGGGTAGTCAGGGTGTGCTTCAGCCAAAGCTTCTGCAGTATATCTTATTACCTTTTTAAAAGCAAAAGTGCTGGCTTTATAGCTTATACATTTATACATATTTGTTTGTGGCTATATTTTTTTACTTTGTGGCCTTGAAAACATTCCATTCTTTTTGGGGATTTGCTTTATATTTGATATAAACTAGTATTTCCATAAGAGGATACGCACTTTCTGTATAGCACAGTATATTTTGGGAGGCTGCATGTAATGGGAGTTTGGGTGAATCTCACTGGTTTCTGTGCTTTACCATTTATTCCTTGATGGAAATGTCTTAGACTTTATAGATTTTGATACAATATACTAGAAATTATACATAGAAACTTATATTTAGCAAAACTTTCCAACTCCAAAGATAAAACATTGTAATACTGACAGGTGTTGAACTTCCAAAATAATAAAACTAGCAACCAGTCAGCCGTAGAGTTCACTTTAAATATTTGAATTATGCATTGGCATTGTAGTCATCACTTCAAACCTCAGTTATTAAATATACTCGATAAAAAAGATAAAATATACTCGGCAGTGTAAACTAGAGAGTTGTATTTCTTCAAAACAGAGTAAGAAACAGTGTTAAACATGCATGGAACAAATAAACAAGCAGGATGTTTAAATAGAAAGACAGAAATGGAAGCAGTAGAAATCTAAAGGAAATGTGACTGAGTGCTGTCCCCGTTTGTACATGTGTCTATTTTCAGCAGCACGTGGACAGATTCTGATCAAATTTGGTGGTTGTCAAAATCCTTAACATGTAGTAATGTGAGTATGCTTGTGCCTCCAGAAATTATTCCCTGCATAACACACTCACCAACCATTCTTAGCCTCTGCTATAAGCTCTGCTGTGAAAACACTCATTAGCAGTTTATCGAGTTCACATTGATGATCTGGCTGCAGCCATTTGTCGACTATTTCACAGTTTTTATTCATTCTCCACAAAGGTTTTCAACTAAACTTTGTACTTAGTAAACTGTATAAGAAAACTTGGTCAATGTTAAATTTCTTTTTTTTGAATATGACAAATATTTGGTTTCTGATTAAATAATCAGTATCGGCTTGAAAATATTGAGAGTCAGAGCTTTGCTTCAAATGACTTCCACGTAATGGTTGCATATTATATAATAAATAACCATGTGACAGACAAGGACAAATAATAAATGTGGGCTGACTTGTTTCTTTGGTCCTCATTTACCTGCAGCCATTTAACCAATTAGCCGAGTCTTTGAAAAATCAATCATACAGGGAATTAAAAAGGTTTGACTACACCATGGATTGATTAGGTTTTAGTTTTTCTTTGTGGGGCCAAGCGGGGCTTCTCAGGCCAACTCGGAATGAATCAGGCATTGGAATAAAGGATTGTTTGCAACCATGCCCTACATTTCTGAATATCAAAATCAATGCAGGTTCTTTTAGAGAAATTAGATTGGGAAAGTGGAATGGCAAAATTTAGTTTAGTGAAATGAGCCTTCTAAATGCAACAAGACTGTGTGACCTGAGAGCGAAAGTAGCATCCTGTAGTCTGTACAGGTTTTATATTGTGCACTTCAACAACTAACCATATCTTCCATGACACTGTAGGTGTACGATTTAAGTATACAGGGCCAAAGAAGAAAATGTGGAAATTTGGAGGATGAGAGACTTTCTCAGTCGCAAGATTTTTGACCCTCACTTTGCACATTCCATTTCTGTACCTTTCCACAAGAGGAGGAAACTTCAAGTTCTTTTTTTCATGCACTTATTGTTGCACTTCCATTCCTCCTTGGTGCTTTTTGCACACAGCTTGTTCCAAAAGTAAATAAATGCATGCAATATTGTGGTAACGGTTAATGTAATCTCTTGCAGGGCTATGGTGGCCTTGACTTGAGAAATGCAGTTTTTTAAAAGAATAAACAAAGCTTGAAACTGTTAATGCATCTTTCCAATCTTTTCCTTCTACTGTTTTTTAATGGCACTAGGGACGAAACTCAGTTTGAGTTGTAAACATGTAATGGTTGTGCAAAAGTGAAAAAAAGATATTCCAATTTGTGTGCATGCGTGCGTGCGTGCGTGCATCCTCAAAAAAAATAAAGGGAATACTAAAATAACACATCCTAGATCTGAATGAATGAAATAATCTCATTAAATACTCATTTCTTTACATAGTTGAATGTGCTGACAACAAAATCACACAAAAATTATCAATGGAAATCAAATTTATATATATTATAAATTTAAAAAAATCAAATTTATCAACTCATGGAGGTCTGGATTTGGAGTCACACTCAAAATCAAAGTGGAAAACCACACTACAGGCCGATCCAACTTTGATGTAATGTCCTTAAAACAAGTCAAAATGAGGCTCAGTAGTGTGTGTGGCCTCCACGTGCCTGTATGGCCTCCCTACAACGCCTGGGCTCCTGATGAGGTGGCGGATGGTCTCCTGAGGGATCTCCTCCCAGACCTGGACTAAAGCATCCGCCAACTCCTGGACAGTCTGTGGTGCAACGTGGCGTTGGTGGATGGAGCGAGACATGATGTCCCAGATGTGCTCAATTGGATTCAGGTCTGGGGAACGGGCGGGCCAGTCCATAGCATCAATGCCTTCCTCTTGCAGGAACTGCTGCCACACCTCAGCTACATGAGGTCTAGCATTGTCTTACATTAGGAAGAACCCAGGGCCAACCGCACCAGCATATGGTCTCACAAGGGGTCTGAGGAGCTCATCTCAGTACCTAATGGCAGTCAGGCTACCTCTGGCGAGCACATGGAGGGCTGTGCGCCCCCCCAAAGAAATGCCACTCCACACCATTACTGACCCACCGCTAAACCAGTCATGCTGGAGGATGTTGCAGGCAGCAGAACGTTCTCCACGGCGTCTCCAGACTCTTTCACATCTGTCATGTCTGTCACATGTGCTCACTGTGAACCTGCTTTCATCTGTGAAGAGCACAGGGCGCCAGTGGCGAATTTGCCAATCTTGGTGTTCTTTGGCAAATGCCACACGTCCTGCACGGTGTTGGGCTGTAAGCATAACCCCCACCTGTGGACGTTGGGCCCTCATGGAGTCTGTTTCTGACCGTTTGAGCAGACACATGCACATTTTTGGCTTGCTGGAGGTCATTTTGCAGGGCTCTGGCAGTGCTGCTCCTGCTCCTCCTTGCACAATAATAATAATAATAATAATCCTTATTTGTAGAGCACTTTTCAAAAACAAGTTACAAAGTGCTTTAACAAGTGTAAAGAATAATACAAAAAAAAAATGAGCATGAAAATTTTATATAAAATTAGTAAAATACAATAAAATAAAAGGGATAAAATAAAGTCAAATAAGATCGGGAAAAGCTCTCCTATAAAAGTATGTTTTAAGAAGGGACTTAAAAGAGTTCACTGACTCAGCCGACCTGATTTCCTCGGGCAGGCTGTTCCAGAGCCTCGGGGCCCTGACAGCAAACGCTCTGTCCCCTTTAGTTTTCAGTCGAGACTCTGGAACAGACAACAGACCTCTGCCCGAGGATCTCAAGGTACGTGCTGGTGCGTATGGGACTAAAAGGTCAGAAATATAACAAGGCGAGAGGCCATGAAGAGCTTTAAAAGTGATCAATAGAATTTTAAAGTCAATTCTAAAACATACTGGGAGCCAGTGTAGTGAAGCTAAAATAGGAGTAATGTGGTCATATTTCTTTGTTCTGGTTAAAAGCCTGGCAGCTGAGTTCTGGACAGTCTGGAGTCGATCAATAGATTTTTGGGTTAAACAGGTGAAAAGGCTGTTGCAATAATCCAGGCGTGATGAGATGAAGGCGTGTAAAATGGTCTCGGTGTCCTTAAAAGTTAACATAGATCGAATTTTAGCTATATTTCTAAGTTGATAAAAACATGATTGAACAAGCTTTGTGGTGTGCTGCTCGAAATTTAAATTACTATCAAACCAAACACCAAGGTTCTTTGCCACAGGCTTAATGTGATTTACTAGGGAACCAGCAGATGGCAGTATTTGATTTGCCATCTGCTGGGACCCGATGACCAGGATTTCTGTTTTGTCTGAGTTCAGCTGGAGGAAATTATTTGACATCCATTTTTTAACTTCACAAAGGCAGTTGTTAAGTGAACTCAGCATTCCAGGGTCTGTGGATCTGACAGGCAAGTATATTTGTGTGTCATCAGCATAAATATGAAAAGAAATGCCATGTTTATGGATAATATGTCCAAGGGGAAGCAGATACAAGGAAAACAAAATGGGTCCTAAGACCGACCCCTGAGGCACACCATATTTAACTGGACAGAATGAAGAGACATAGTTGTTTACAGACACGCAAAACTTCCTATTTGACAGGTAGGATGAAAACCATTCTAGAGCAGTACCAGAGATCCCCACCCAGTGCCTCAGTCTGTCTAACATGATGTTGTGATCAATGGTGTCAAAAGCAGCGCTAAGGTCCAGGAGTACAAGGACTGAGCACATGCCTTCATCAGCAGACATTAAAAGGTCATTGGTGACTTTAAGCAGTGCAGTCTCAGTGCTGTGGTACTTCCTAAAACCAGACTGAAACTTTTCAAATAATTTGTTATTTTCCAGCACAGTGAGTAGCTGTTTGGACACAATTCTTTCTAGAATCTTTGCAGTAAAAGGCAGTTTTGAAATTGGTCTAAAATAATGTGGGAGGGAGGGATCTAAACCAGGTTTCTTTAAAAGTGGGTTCACGCAAGCCGTTTTAAAATAATCAGGGACACAACCAGTAGATAGGGAGCTGTTGAAAACAGAGATCAAATGGGGCCCAACAGAATCTATTACTTTTAGTAAAAATTTTGTAGGTATTATATCAAGTGGGCCGGAGGACACTCTCATTTGTGATACTGTTTTTTTTTTGTTAAAACTCTGTTGTTGCTGGTGAGGGACCTCTGAGTAAGAGGCCACGGGGGTAATAGAGGCTCTGATTAACACCACCTTATTGGTAAAATAAGATAAAAACAATTCACAGTCATCATTACTTTCAGCTGAGGCACAAGGAGGGGTTGGGTTTACCAGCTGATCCACATTCTTAAACAGAAACCTGGGATTGTGTTTATGTGTAGTAATGAGTTCAGAAAAATAGTGTGTTCTCGCATCCTTAACCATTTTATTGTAGCTAATTAATAAATCCTTCACACTGAGGTAATGGACTTGGAGATTGGATTTTTTCCATCTGTGCTCTGCTTTCCTGCATTCCCTTTTTAGGCTGCGAATGTTGTCATTTATCCAGGGTTGTTTACTAGCTTTAGACGTAGGCCTAACCTTTAGAGGAGCAGTAATATTTAGTGACGACAAGCAGATATGATTGAAGTGATCGACCAGATTGTTGGTGTTGGAATCAGACAGGTGTTGGCTTTGGCTCTGAAAGACTGCGCAAAACTTTGAAACACTTTGTTCATTAAAGATGCGACAACACACGGAGCTTGGTGAGGTGGCATGAGTAACAGGCGAATAGCAGCTAAAAACAATACATCTGTGGTCAGATATGGTCATGTCCACTAATTCCACAGAGGAAATGCTGACACCCAGGGTAAAAACCAAGTCCAGTGTATGACCACGGTTATGTGTTTGCCCTTTGACATGTTGTTTGAAGTTAAAAGAAGTGGCCATATTTAAAAAGTCAGTTGCATTAACATTGGTGGGGTCATCAACATGAATATTAAAATCGCCACAAAGAACAATTCTGTCATAATTTAAAACCAGAGTAGATAAGAATTCAGGAAGTTCTGATAAAAATCCTCCAGGCGGTTTTGGGGGACGATAAATTATAACAAATATGATAGGTTGCAGCCCTCCAACTTTAAGAGTGAGAACTTCAAAGGAGCTAAATTCATCACAGCGTACTTGATGACATTTAAAATTTAAAAGGCGGAGGTAGCGGTCCTGCTGCTGGGTTGTTGCCTTCCTATGGCCTCCTCCACGTCTCCTGATGTACTGGCCTGTCTCCTGGTAGCGCCTCCATGCTCTGGACGCTACGCTGACAGACACAGCAAACCTTCTTGCCACGGCTCGCATTGATGTGCCATCCTGGATGAGCTGCACTACCTGAGCCACTTGTTTGGTTTGTAGACTCCGTCTCATGCTACCACTAGAGTGAAAGCACCGCCAGCATTCAAAAGTGACCAAAACATCAGTCAGGAAGCATAGGAACTGAGAAGTGGTCTGTGGTCACCACCTGCAGAACACTCCTTTATTGGGGGTGTCTTGCTAATTGCCTATAATTTCCACCTGTTGTCTATTCCATTTGCACAACAGCATGTGAAATTGATTGTCAATCAGTGTTGCTTCCTAAGTGGACAGTTTGATTTCACAGGAGTGTGATTGACTTGGAGTTGACATTGTGTTGTTTAAGTGTTCCCTTTATTTTTTTGAGCAGTGTATATATGTGTATATGTATATATATATGTATATACAGTGCCTTGCGAAAGTATTCAGCCCCCTTAAACTTTTCGACCTTTTGCCACATTTCAGGCTTCAAACATAAAGATATAAAACTGTAATTTTTTGTGAAGAATCAACAACAAGTGGGACACAATTATGAAGTGGAACGAAATTTATTGGATATTTCATACCTTTTTAACAAATGAAAAACTGAAAAATTGGGTGTGCAAAATTATTCAGCCCCTTTACTTTCAGTGCAGCAAACTCTCTCCAGAAGTTCAGTGAGGATCTCTGAATGATCCAATGTTGACCTAAATGACAAATGATAAACAGAATCCACCTGTGTGAAATCAAGTCTCCATATAAATGCACCTGCTCTGTGATAGTCTCAAAGGTCCGTTTAAAGCACAGAGAGCGTCATGAAGAACAAGGAACACACCAGGCAGGTCCGAGATACTGTTGTGGAGAAGTTTAAAGCCGGATTTGGATACAAAAAGATTTCCCAAGCTTTAAACATCCCAAGGAGCACTGTGCAAGCGATA